CTTTCTTTCTTTCTTTCTTTCTTTCTTTCTTTCTTTCTTTCTTTCTTTCTTTCTTTCTTTCTTTCTTTCTTTCTTTCTTTCTTTCTTTTTTTAAAAGATTTATTTATTATATATACAGTGTTCTGTCTGCATGTGTCCCTGCAGGCCAGAAGAGGGCGCCAGATCTCATTACAGATGGTTGTGAGCCACCATGTAGTTGCTGGGAGTTGAACTCAGGACCTCTGGAAGAGCAGTCAGTGCTCTTAACCACTGAGCCATCTCTCCAGCCCTCTTGGGTGGTATTTCATTGTCAGGATCCGTGTCTCCTGCTTTACTACTGTTTTTACCCCTCTCCCGCCCACCCGCCCGGGGCCAGTGATTGAAGTCAGTCCTGGCATGTGTGAGATAAGTTGCTGTAGCTGGAGTGACCAATGACTGTCTCCCAGGTCTTTCAGCCCAGGCTCCTGCCTCCATCGCTGAGTTGTTTTCATAGTTTACCCTCAAGTCACTGTATTTGTTTCGTTCTTTGAAAAAGGTTCATCAATGCTGCACTCCCTAAGTTATGTATATAAGGGTTTTAATGCTCTTTATCTTTTATTTTTATCTGAGTTACACTTCTGAGTACCTCGCCTTTGCCAGCCTTGTTTTAAGTCAAGTTTTGTGAATGTACATTTGTTGTCTTTTCCTCTGCATTTTGTAGAGCAGAACTAGAAATTTTTTGTAATGAACCAAACAGTAGTGATTTTAGGTTTTATGAGCTAATTTGCCATTGTTGGTGCTAAATTCTGCTTTTTGGGTATGTAATCAACTCTAGACATTGCATAAATGAATAGGGGTGACGGTGTTTCAGTATAACGTACCAAACAGGCAGCCTAAGCCAAGCATTGTGGCCGATAACTACTGTCCCAACCCATTGGAGACAGAGACAGAAGGATGCTGGGAGATTGGGGCCAGCCTAGGCTGCATGCTGAGGAGTGACAGGGGAAGAACTCCAGTCCTGTGAGGTGCAGCCCCTGCCTGGCGTGCATGAGACAAGTTCAGTCCCAAGTACCAAACACAAAAGGCAGTGCTGTCTGTCGGGTTGTTGGTTGTCGTTTGCTTTTAGTTTGGTGAGGCAGACTTTCATGGTGTGTCCCGGGCAGATCATCCTGCCTCAGCCCGTGCTGGCAGCAGATATGCACTGTTTGAAAACTCTTACTCTGAGGCCCAGAAGATGGCTCAGCAGTTAAGAGCATGTACTGTGCTGCTCTTGCAGAGGACTTGAATTCATTTCTCCCACCCACATCGGGCAGCTCACAGCCACCTGTAAATCCTGCTCTAGGAGATCCAAAGCTTTCTTCTGGCATCCATACACTCACACAGGCACATACCCACACACAGACAAATACACATATGCATAATTAAGATTTTAAAAATTCTTTTAGTTAGCAGCCATCAGATACAGTCAAACTGGAATTTGAGGTGCAGGCCCAGGACTACTGAGCTGTCACATTTAGCTGATGTCATGTTGGCTTGAGCTGGGAGGGAGAACTCATCTGGTCATCATCATCCCTGCTCCGTCACTGTAGTTTGGGTTTGAGAGGAGGAGACAAAGTCTGGGGTCCCAGAGAAAGAAGTGAGAACACAGAACCAAAGCCTTCCTAACGCTGCAGCCTTAAACACTTCCTCATGCTGTGCTGGCCCAGCCACAGTTACTCTGTTGCTGCTTCATAGCCGGCACTTTTCTACAGTTGTGAATCCTCATGCAAATGTTTTTGGAGATAGAGGTTTGGGGGGGGTCATGACCCACAGGTTGAGAACCACTGCTTTAATGCCTACATCCTCTGTCCCTACCTTAGGCATGGTGGTTTTCTGGAATCTTCCCACTAATTCACCCCTCCAACGGATACGGCTCTCCGATGGCTCCTTAAAGCTATACCCCTTCCAGTGTTTCCTAGCCCATGACCAGGCTGTCCGTACAGTTCAGTGGTGCAAAGCTAACAGGTACAGAATAGGAGGGCTGGGGACCCAGGCCAAGCTGCCTGCATGTGGGGGACAATTGTGTGCCTTGGTCTGTTTGTGGGGCCCCAGCAGTGCGACCAGGATCTGTCCCTGGTATATGAGCTGGCTTTTTGGAACCTATTCCCTATGGTGGGATGCCTCGCTCACCCTTGATGCTGGGGGGTGGGGGAGTGGAGGGGGGTTTGATACGCCATGCTTTGTTGATTCCCATGGGAGGCCTTACCCTTACCCTTCTGAGGAGTGGATGGGGGGAGGGTCCAGGAGGAGAGGAGGGAGGGGAAACTGTGGTTGGTATGTAAAATAAACTTTAACAAAATTTAATTTAAAAAGTCTGTGGAAGGGGAAGGCTGCAGCAGGCTGAATCTTCCACACTGGCTCTGATTTATCTCCCGTCTTTGCAGTCATTTCCTGGTTTCTGCGGGGAGTGACCGGAAAATCAAATTCTGGGATCTTCGACGGCCTTATGAGCCAATAAACTGCATCAAGCGCTTCTTGAGTACAGAGCTTTCCTGGCTGCTTCCCTACAATGGTGTCACGGTGGCCCAGGACAACTGCTATGCCTCGTACGGCAAGATGAAGATCTGAGTTGTGGGGACAGGCCCTAAGGGATGGGGCACACGCTGGGGAAAGGAGGGTTGGGTTTGTTCTGGGTTATTTTGAAATCTGTAGGAAAAGAACTTAGTCTTAGAAGAGGGATGGTTTATTTTCTCTCTCTCTTGTAGTTACGGGCTCTGTGGAATTCATTACATCGATGCTGGTTACCTTGGTTTTAAGGCCTACTTTACTGCTCCGCGAAAAGGCACCGTCTGGGTGAGCCTCTCCTTCCCCGAGCTTCAGTATGCAGGGGATGCCCGTGTGCTCACTGTGGTAGTCAGGGGCAGACAGCGATTCAGGGCAGAAGGAGGAACAGTGTGTGATAACTATGTTAGAGCCATGAGTTGTTTCTTTGTGTCTCTCCTCGACCTCAGACTGTAAGTCACCATCACAGGAATGAATGGGTGGATGGATGGGTGAAATGAACATGTCTCTTCCTATTAGAGTCTTTCAGGGTCAGACTGGCTTGGGACAGTAGCTGCAGGAGACATATCTGGGGAGCTCATCGCAGCCATTTTACCTGACATGGCATCAAACCCAATCAATGTCAAGAAACCTGCCGAAAGGAGATTTGTAAGTATGCGGACATCCATCCATTAGGTCATACTCTACTTGCCTTGTCTCCTCTTGGTGGGATGCAAACCAGTGCTTGGTCTCAGGCTCTGTCCTTGCTGTGGCAAGGAGTTAGGTATACTCTTCTCCACCCTGTTGGAACGAACATGTTTTCTTAGGATTGTTACGATCATTGTATTTATTTTGTGTGTGTATGGGAGGTGGTGTGCATGCCACGGTTCATGTGTGGCCAGAGAGCAACTCTTGAGAGTCAGTTCTCTCTCCTTAAACTCAAGGTACCAGGGTTAGCAGCCAGAGCCTTTACCCACAGCCACTGTGCTAGCCCGGGTGTTTTGCTTTGTCTTTTCAAGACAGGATTTCTCTGTGACAGCCCTAGCCTGGCACTCACCCTGTAGCCCAGGCTGGCCTCAAACTCAGAGATCCGCCTGCCTCTGCCTCCCGAGTGCTGGGATTAAAGGCGTGCGCCACCGTGGGCTGACTCCAAGTGTATTTTTAGTCTTACTACTTTTGAGACTTCGTCACAGTAAGACAGTTTCCTTTGCTTTTGTGTTCAATATTTTAAAATCTAATTGCAGGTGGTGGTGCACGCCTTTAATCTTACCACTCGGAAGGCAGAGGCCAGCCTGGTCTACAAAGCTAGTTCCAGGACAGCCAGGGCTATACAGAGAAACTCTGCTTTGAAAAACAAAATAAATCTAATCTCAGGCTAGAGAGATGGGTCAGTGTGTGTGTGTGTGTGTGTGTGTGTGTGTGTGTGTGTGTGTGTGTACGTACACATACACACTGGCTGCTAAGCCTGTGTGCTGAGTTCAGTCCCTGGGACCACTGGATAGAAGAGAAAATGGACTCCCAAGAGTTGTTCTTTGACCTCCCTGTATACCCCACAGCATGAGTGCACACAGTTGTAGATAAAAAATAAAAATGTAAGACACTAATCTTTCGGTCTTCTCCTAGCCTATATATAAAGCAGATCTGATAGCATACCAGGACAGCCCCGAAGACCAAGACTCTTCGACCTCCCCTGAGACCCCCAATCCTCCCAAAGCGAGAACTTACACTGAGACCATCAATCACCACTACTTGCTCTTTCAAGATACAGATCTGGTAAGTTGTGGTTACAAAACAGTGTGGCATTAGAAAAGAGAAACCTTAGACAGCAGAAGTCCTAAGGAATTCCACTTGTGTTCCCCAGAGTTCCTTCCACAACCTGCTCCGTAGAGAACCCATGCTGCGCATGCAGGAAGGAGAGGGACATTCTCAGCTTTGCCTGGACAGGCTGCAACTTGAAGCTATTCACAAGGTGAGAGCCTTGTCTTACAGCTTTTCCCACCCTCCATCTGCCTGTGACCAGTGGAATGAGCGACTAAAAGTCAGCAGAGGTGGCTGGAGGAGAAGCAGCCTTGACAAGCTCTCCTGGGTCCTAGATCTCACTCATTGGCAGGCTCTCATGCTCCACTCCTCCTGATAGTGACTTGGTTTTATCTGGTTGGTTGGTTGGTTTTTGGGTGTTTTTGAGACAGAGTCTCTCTGTGTAGCCCTGGCTATCCTGGAGCTCACTTTGTAGATCAAGTTGGCCTCAAACTCACAGAGATATAGGTATATATCTGCCTCTCTGCCTTCTGGGTACTGGGGTGTGGTGACCTATTTTTAAAGCTCACACAGTAGGGGTTACCCTAAGACACGACTTCTGAGGCTCTTTTTGGTTTCCTGTTCTCTTCACAGGTACGTTTCAGCCCAAACCTGGACTCCTATGGATGGCTGGTATCTGGGGGGCAGTCAGGGCTGGTTCGGATCCATTTTATCCGTGGACTCACCTCCCCACTGGCTCACCGTGTACAGCTTGAAAGCCGAGCCCACTTCAATGCTATGTTCCAAACCTCCTTTTCAATGGAAGGGCCTGGTTTCTCTCCAACCAGCCATTGCCTTCCCCCCAATCCCTAGTCTGGTCCACACAGAGCTCTTGGATGAAGTCTGCCAAGATCAAATTGCTCCCATGCACAGAGCATAGGACCTGGGCCCTTCCTGGACAGTGATGGTGCCTGGCCTAGATCTTTAGGCCTACCTGCCCAGAACTCCTTAAATCCCTCTCCTTCCACAGACTTCTATGGTCACAGCTCCCTGCAGGTAGGGGGGCTCCCCCTCCATAACAATTCCTATGCCTAAAACCGTGGCTCACAAGAAACACTCAGGCCTGACCTAGGCTTGGGAGTCAAATTGCTCATATTGAGCATATTGTGAAGGAGGTAAAGCTAAGTAAAGGTACTGGGTGTTTTTGAGACCACTTGTGAGTGGGTGTTTGGAGAGTCGGAAAGGATATCTTCATGAAGGCTCCTGTGGATTTCCAGGATTTGATGTTATTGCCTTCCAATCTTCCTCTTTAGAATAACCAACACGCAGGCCCAGTGGGGGTGACAGTAATTTATTGGACTGAAGCTGCTCGTAACACGTTAACTGAGGAACACCTTAAACTCCCTACCAGGAGGCCAGCGGCCAGCTCTTACCCGCTCCTGCTTATGAAATATTCCCAATCATTGACCGTTTGACACTACTCCACCACTCCTGGAGAGTAGTGTTTTTAAAATTTTTGAAGCTGGGTATAATGGTGCACACCTGTAATCCCAGCACTTGGGAGGCCGAGGCAGGAGCTCACAATTTTGCATTCAGTCTGGGCTATCTCATAAAACCAAAAAGTAAGAGAAAAAAAAATCTTCCTTTATATCAAGTCAAGAGTATACCTCTATTAATTTACTAGTGGGTGTTAGGAGATCTAGTCATTCTTCCCCGTGAGTGCCCTTTCAGTACTTTACAGTAGCTATCATGTGTCTCCCAAGTCATCTTTTTCTCTAGATTAAATATCTTTAGTTATTTCAATCATTCTTTTACAAGTCATGATTTTTGATCTTCATGATATGGTCACATTGTTGACGTATTAAACATGTTTCAACTCTGTATAGAAAGTATTTAGAACCCAATAATGTATTGTCATCTGGATAGAGTCCTCTTGTGGATAGCTGCACCTCACATGACTGATCCTGCCTCCAAAGCACCGGCAGCCCCAGTGATGTGAGATCGCCAGATCACAGCCATGGGACACGCAGTACAGGCTGAGGTTTGGGAGGAAGTAGTTAGACCATCTTAGGAAATAGGAAACAAACAGGTCACTGCTTCCTCTTGGAAGGGATGCAGTCTACATTAGTATTGCCTGAAACAAAATCTAGACTTTAGAGCACTCAAGACTGGTCTGTCATGTCTGGGAACAGCTTTCTGCCTGAGTAGTATAGAAGATTTGTCAAATGCCAGAAAATCTCTCAGAAGAGCATCAAGTAGTTCAGTCCCCTTCCTGTACAGAAGAGGAAGCAGGTCTGTAGGAAACTCAGGTCCTTAAGCAGCAGAAGGACCACAGCCCGCGTTGGTGTGAAGGAGTCAAGTGTTGTACCACTCTGTTGTGATCCAGCTCAGGCTGTCAGGCTTGCTTTTTGAACTAATAAAGAAGTGCCTTCCATTGCAGAGAAGCCTGGCTCGTCCTGCAGAGCAACCCCTGACACAGCACATCCGTGTTTCCTACTTGAGTGGTAGAGAAGGTGGGGCGTGGGCTAAAGGCTGAGGTGTAGGCTGGTGCCGGGAGCCCTGCTCCTGGGTTAGTCAGCCCTCATCTTGAACTCGGAAGGAAATGTGGGCCGTGTTTCCTGCCCTGTCTTCTTCCTTTCCCGTGGAGCTTTTCTCATTTTCCTTCCTTCCTTCCCAGTTGGTTATCCACTTTATACCCCTTGTTCCTGCTCTTTCTCCCCTGTGCCTTACTTAGTTTGATGTCTTCTCCAGTTGTCTTTCCCCAGCATCCCCTAAACCCTGTTCATCCTTCACGGTCCCATCTCAGTGGAACAGTGTGTGCTTAGCATGTACAAGTCCCTTGGTTCAGGTCCCACCCCCCATACTCCCTCCCCTCCAAACAAAAAACAAAAACAGGTCAATTTTCACCAGGGAACTTTTTGCATTTCTCCAATCAGTGTGTGTGTAGGGGGGTGGACAAGGACGGGACTCCATGTGCTTCGGAGGAGAAGGCTGGATGGATAAATTTGCTGTTTTGGGTGCTTTGCATACATGACAAACACACATACATAGTCTATGGGGTATAGACTATTTTATGTAATCCTTAGATTCGGAAAGATTAAGCAATCCGAATAAGGTCACATAACTACCAAAACTGGCAGAGATTTGAATCCATACATTCTTGCTTAAAAACACTTCCAATCTAAGCCGGGCGGTGGTAGCGCACGCCTTTAATCCCAGCACTTGGGAGGCAGAGGCAGGTGGATCTCTGTGAGTTCAAGGCCAACCTGGTCTACAGAGCGAGATCCAGGAAAGGTGCAAAGCTACACAGAGAAACCCTGTCTCAAAAAAAAAAACAAAACAAAACAAAAAAACACTTATAATCTTGCACATTTGGTCTCTTATTACATCTGCTGTAAATTCCTTTAGCATGTTCTATACACAGGAATCTGAGTTCCACTCAGTCCTTATTCTCTAGTAGTTAATAGGATCCACCCTCCAGGAATCGTACAGGAATTGAGTAAATGAGCTGGGAGTAGCCACATGGAGAACAGAAAGGTTGAGCTTTCTCAAGACTTGAGAATAGATACATTCTTAAGGTGTTCCAGTTGGAAGGAGACTTAGATTCCCTAAACTGGTTTTCAAACAGTTGTATGCCTCTGCTTAAAATAACTCTAGAAACACACTTAACAACAACAAAAAAACTCCATTGAGTCCCCTCTTGCACATCTCTAGAACTTGGGGGTCCTGAGAGGCACACTGGAAGCCCATCATTTTACAAACTCATGACAAAGGCCGGGCAGCCTGTTACATTGGGCTCTCAAATTCTGCTATGTTGGTGGTTCTTGTGGAAGCCGCCTGCACTTTAAAAAGGATATTTCGGACAAAACGTTTTGGTGTGGAGTACAAAAATAGACTACTTGAGTCCACCTTTCAAGTTTCCAAACAGAAGGGAGTCCAGACCTGGCTAGCTCGGGGAGACCGGGACAGTGCAGACCTGCCTGGGAGCCTGGGAGCCGGGGACCAGAAGAGGCATAGGGAAGCACTGACCAGGTTCCACACCGGACCAGGTTCCACACCGGTCCTTGGTGCAGTCTGCGGAAAGGAGGCTGCCCGCTAGGTGGCCGGCTGAGCCACCTTCCAACGGGTGTCAAGGGTCCCGGTCACATTCCTCCTGGACTACAAGTGTCCAAACGACAGCAGCATGCGGGCGGAAGGGGCGGGGCTCGATACGGAAGTCTCTCGGCCAACTCCTGTCACGTGGGAGAAGGTTCTACGCATTGCTAGCATTCAGGTGAGTAGAGGATTTTTGCTCGTCAGTAGTGTGAATCGCTGAGGGCCATGAGCTCCTGCAAGTCATGTGACCTTCCAGCCCCAGATCGTGGTGTATTTCCGGTGTGGAGTTGCACTCAGAATGCAGTTTAGTTGCAGCCGAGGCTGGATTCGGAGACCTTTCAGTTTGCTTGGGGTGGGAGGAGGACCTAGACTGTGGGTGGAAGCTAGCGGAAGCCTGACCTCGTGAGTGTCTGGATCAGGCAGCCTTGCTTCAGGGCCGGGTTTGGGGTGGCAGAGGCAGCCTCCGGGAATCATTCTCCAGTTGTCTAAAGAGATCGGGAGGCAGGACACCGCCCAGTAAGCAGCCTTCCTGAGGCCTCTGTCACTCGCAGGTTTTGCAAGTGGAGAGAGTTGGCACAGGAAACGGCAGGCGGGTTCTTCCCCGTGAGGAGGGGCAGTGGGAGTGACTGGTCCTCTTGTTTGACAGGAGGCATGGCACTCTGGCGGGCATACCAGAGGGCCCTGGCTGCACATCCGTGGAAAGTCCAGGTTCTGACAGCTGGTGAGTGTCTCCGGGATCTGAGGAGGAAGAGGCCCACAGTACGGCTCCCACTTCCTCCTATTTAGCCCCCTGGAGGGGTTGACTTCCTCTCACCTCGAATTACTCTGTTTTGGAGGGCGAGGTCCCAAAGCTATTCCTAAAATATACACACTGGGGCGCTAGAGGGATGGCGCAGAAGTTAACAGCTCTTCCTGCTCTTGAGGAGGGCCCGACTCCCATATCAGGTGGCTCAGAGCCACCTGTAACTCCAGCTCCAGGGAGATCTGTCACCTCCAGCCACTTGGGGCACCTACACTCGCTTGCACCCACTCCACACACACACAATTTCAAATAATTTAAAAGGGAAAAGAGACACATGGTTCTGTCCAGTAATACTAAAAGTCCTCACAAACCTAAGTAGTCTTTGGTTGGTTGGTTGGTTGGTTTTTTCAATACAGGGTTTCTCTGAGTAACCCTGGCTGTCCTGGAACTCTATAGATCAGGCTGGCCTTCAACTTAGAGATCCACTTGCCTCTCCCTCCCAAATATTGGGATTAAAGGGGTGCGCTACCGCTGCCTGGCATAAATAGTCCATTCTTAAAAGCACTGCCCCCAGGAGACTGCCCACCTTGAGAAGCTAATGTTTTCCTCCTACATTTCACAGTGTGCCCGACACACACACACACACACACACTCACTCACTCACACACACACTGTGTCATAGTGGCCTCCACAGGTCTGTTAGTTAGATTACTTGAGTCCACATTAGTCGATCACATGCCTAAGTGCTGAAGTAAGTTACTCCAGTTTATTTTTCCTTACTATTTTTTTATTGTGAAATGAGCAAAGCAGTCGTGTATCTGGTTTAAATAATATTAAAACTGAGTGCTTCTGAGTCAGTACTCAGCTTAGGACTCTATGAGTCCCTCTCCTCAGTTCATGTATTTCACTTCTTTGTTTCATTTTTATGTCAAGAGCCACACCCTAGCCCGGGCTGACCTGGAATTCACTCTGTAGCCAGGCTGGCCTTGAATTTCAGCATCTCGGCCCGGATGCTGAAATTCCAAGCGTGAGCCACCACAGCTGGCTGCATGACCACGGTGCCGAGCTTGGCCCACGTCACTGTTTTGCTTTTCTTCCATCATGCCTGTCATCAGACAGTGTGCTAACTAGGGTCTTGCCACTCCACATCCAGGGATGAAGCGGCAGCTGTTCCCGCCTTCTCTTTGCTGGCTAGCCAGGACAAGGGGACAGGGCAGGGAAGCATCACCAATCCTCTGACCATCAGAGATCGGGTCACACACATGCCTTGCCTGTGTTTAGAGAAAGACCCCGTATTCTAAGGAGGCCTGGGGGCTTCTGCGGGGAAAGAGCGAGGCTAAAGGCCAGCGGAGAGCGGTGGTCCTATTAGCAGAATGGCCCTACGTGAGCATTAGAAACCACACTCACTACCTGACTGGCCGGGAGGTGGACCCCTGTGCTCCTCCCTAGCCCCTCGATAGCATCCCGTGCCCATCCACCTCTTGTCCTCGGGGTGTCCGGCCCGCATGACTCACCTGGCTGAGTGTGTGGTGACTCACACTGGACTGTGTGGCTGTGATGGGAACTGACACGCTGGGCCCTTTGCCCAGCCTCAGATTCCCTCGGGGCCCCTGGCTGCCAGATAGAAAGGTCCCCCCTTTCGGCCCTCAAGAGCGGAGAGGGAAGGACGGTCAAGTTTCACTACCCAGATGATCCATAGCCGACAAAGGCAGGAACTAAAGCCTCAAGGGGTGCAGGTGCAGAAATGGGGTTAACTGGGCTGCCTGGTGGTGTCTGTGCCACGCTCTTTTTACATGGTCTCGTATGTCCGTTTTCTCCTGACACTGCTGCATCTTTGTGTGGCCCTGCAGCAACCTGTAGCCTCCTAACATTTCCCTCAGACTTCCTTCCTTGCTGCTCAGGCTCTTGGGACCAACCTACAAATATAGGGTGGGGTGGGCTGAGTTCGCCTTACCATTTCGGACTGTTTTCTGAGCACAGTGCTCCAGAGGTCCCGTGGGAGAGCCCACACCAGGAAACACGACAGAGATTTCAGACTTGGAACTAGAAGGCCAAGATCGGAATCTCAGAGCATAGCACTTAGTAGCTGCCTAATTAGTTCACGTCAATAAACCTCTGGGCCTCAGTTTCCTCAATTAGAACTTAAAAGGTCAGTTAGGGGAATTATCTCTGAGAAGCAGCTAAGGAAGTGTCATTTATTTATTTACTCACAGTACTAAAGATGGAAGCTACAGCCTCACACATGCTAGCACGCATGCTCTCTGGATGATATGCCTATCCTCTGGGGCCTTTTATTGTTTTTTTTATATTATTTATAGTGTGTGTGTTCAAGCCCATGGGTCACATGTGTGAAATCAGTTCTTTCCTGGAACTGACTGGAACTTGTTTGTTTGTTTTGAGACAGGTTTTCTCTGTGTAGTTTTGGTGCCTGTCCTGGAACTCACTCTGTGGCCCAGGCTGGCCTCGAACTCACAGAGATCCTCCTGCTTCTGCCTCCTGAGTGCCGAGATTAAAGGTGTGCGCCACCGCCACCCAGCTTGGAACTTTTTTTAATGTACAATAAACTTGAAGGTTCAAGGACTTGGCCCTTCCTATGATTATCGGCAACCCGTATATAGCAGACTCCTCTTTTTATAGAGGGGTTTGGGCTGGGTTGGTTCCACTTTCCCTAAATCTAAACATGGAAAAGTATCTTTTAATTCTTTCCCATTTATTTATTTGTTTGTTTGTTTGTTTGTTTGTTTTGAGGCAGGGTCTCATTGTGTAGCGCTGGTTGTCCTGGAACTCACTCTGTAGACCAGGTTGGTCTGGGACTCACAGAGATCTCACCTGTCTCTGCCTCCCAAGTGTTGGGATTGAAGGCGTGTGCCACTATGCCAGGGCTGGTTATTTATTTATTTATTTATTTATTTATTTATTTATTTATTTATTCACTATACATACATGTATGCCTGCATGTCAGAAGAGGGCACCAGATCTCCTTACAGATGGTTGTGAGCCACCATGTGGTTGCTGGGAATTGAACTTATGATCTCTGGAAGAACAGCCAGTGCTCTTAACCTCTGGGCCATCTCTCCAGCCCAAGGCTGGTTATTTTCAATCAGAATCTCATTGCGCAGCTCAGTCTCGCTTTAGACTTACTGTGTTGCTAAGGCTAGCCTTGAACTTATCAGTCCTTCTACTTCAGCCTTTCAAGTGCCTAGATCATGGACGTGCACCATGCCCAGCTTATGGATAATTATATTGGCCTTGGTCTTCCGAGCAGCAGAGCCTGAAGCTTATGTACAGATTAGAACGTAATCCCTCCCGAGGGCCAGAGGGAGAGCGGTACGAAGGGGGCATTATTAAATCAGCCGCCCTTCAGGGCTTCTTGGGCTCCGTACCTTGGAACTGACTATAAAAAGCAAATTGAAATGCCTTATTGGATGAATAGTTATTTCTGGAGAAGAGGCCTTAATCCACCGGCTTCCTTCCCCCACCGGCCAGCATTTCACCCCAGGGAACACTCAATTCCTCTGCTACCTTCTCACACATGTGTGGTCCCCAAAGGCCTTAACAGTGAGACCCTGGGTGTGACGGGCCTGAAGGAAGCCATCTGATTCAGCTGCAGTCGTGGCTAGAGCAGGAGGCAGGGGAATCCAGATCTGCAGTGGTTCAGCGGAAGTGGCCAGTGCACCGCTTTTGGGCCAAGCCAGAGTCACGACCAGGGCAGCCTGGGGGAAAAGTTGACTGTGTGTTCTGCAGAGTCTGAGTCAGCTTCATCCCTTCCTTTCTGGAGGGCTCTTCCAGTCTCCAGTGGGCCCAGAGCCCAGGGCCCAGTTCCATCCCTTGCAGGCCACCGGAGCCGCTAAACTGTAGGCAGATTTCCTGGGGACCTGAATTAAGCCAGAATGTGAGTCTCAGGGACCTTGGTGCTGCAGAAAGGGAAACAGAGGCATAAGCAGGGTATGACGTGTGCTTAGATGTCACACGCACCGCTCTAGACCTGGCATCAGAATCTGGGCACCGCTACTTGTACTCCAGCCCTGGTACGTGGGCTGCGGGGGCCTCGGGACACTGAGTGTCCACCCAGCTGGGTTTAACCGTGAGAAGCCGCAGGACTGGCCATTTTGTCTCATTTTCTTCAGCAGGATGCTTGTGGACAGGAGTGAGCTGAGCACTTAGACTCATCTCAAGGAATACGCTTTCCTTCTCAATGGAGCTTCAGCTGCCCCAGGCTCTGGCTCAGGTCAACCTCCTGCACCAGCTAGGAGACCCCGTAGTCAGCGGCGCTTCTGGCTCAGTGCCAAGAATAGCTTTCCCTGCAGACCCCACCTCCTATATTTAAAGGGATGCTTCCTCTCATTTCAGGAAGCCGCTTCCTGCCCATCTGCATCTCATCTTCCGTCAACACTTTATTTTCTTGCACATAAGACTCTTTCCAAAAGCAAGTGTAGGAATAAAGAGGAAAGCAGGACGATTTGGCTCTACTCATGCCTTGGAAGGGGGTGTGGGCAGGTTGGGGCTTTTCCATTGATGGGCAGGGGATGGTCTCAAGTAGATCAGTGTCCAGAGCCAAACATCCCCCGCCCCCTCCCTCCAGTGGGGAGTGACGAATGAAAACTGGCATCTGCCCAGAGGCATGATGTCATACTCAGACCGGTGTCTATTCACCAGGCTCTGTGCCCAGCTTGGCTTTGGGGCACCACTGCCCAGCAACCTCTCACCCTGGCCCACCGGGGCTCTGGGCATGATGTGTTTTGAGACTTCCCACTCTGACTCTCAAGTTGAAGGAGAGAGGAACCAGATCAGTACACCATCCCGGTTAACCAGATATCGGAGTGGTCTGGGTGTTTGGGTTCTGGGCTGGAGACAACAGGAGAGGTTTGGATGTTTGAGTCCTTCCTGATTGATGAAGGCTCCCTTGGGCCAGGAATGCAGGCCTTGCTCTTGGCGTGGACCAAAGTCTTCGGCCATTCTGGAGTTGTTGCAGGTCCAGTGGCCATAATCTCCTATGAACAGAAGACAAGCTTCAGGATACTGTTACGTCAGAAATGAACAGACCTGGGTGGGCCTACAGAGTCCCTCCTCAGGTCATTGCTCTGAAGATGGCATGTCACCTGGTTCTGCCTCAGACTTGATGGGTGCAGTCTGGGACCTAGACTCAAAGGTTTGGGCGAGGGGATACTCAGACAGTGCTCACACACACCAGCTTTGCTCCCTACATTTACTGTGAAAGAAATAACAGGCACCATACTACGACTGTCTGAGAGTCTGTCTGTACAGGTCACTTCCACCTCCCCAAAGGAAGTTTATCAAAGTACCCTAAGCAATCAGGAGCTTCAGTCCGCATGCATCATATAATGGACACACTTTAACTAAAGGATGAGTCTTTTCCCCATTCCCCTGCCACCCAGGAATCAGATGGTCTAAGTACAAACACATATGGGTAACTACTCATCAATATGCCAGGGACTCGCCCCTGTGAGAGGGGACTTCCACTTACTCTTGTGGACACCAGGACACCATAGGTAGTCCTTTTTCAATGGCTGAAGGCTTCCAGAACCATGGCACCAGTAAATTGGTTTTCATTATAGTTCTGCCTTTAGTTTGTATAGCTATTGATAAGTCATGAAGAGAGGAAATACGCAAATCTCAATTTTCTGAGAATATTGCTGCCTGCCCTCCCTATGGGTAACAAGGAACAGAGGAGATAGTCTGGGGATAATACAGAAGTGCGTGAGTACATAGTGAGCTTTTTAGTGTTCTTAAGTGTGTATGTGCCTACATGTATGTGTGTGCATCACAGCTGTGCCTAATGTCCCTAGAGACCAGAAGAGACCAGTAGATCACCTGAAACTGGACTTAGAAATGGTCGTGAGCTGCCATGTGGGTGCTGGGAACCAAACCCAGGTCCTCTGCAAGAGCAACAAATGATAATAACTAACTACTGAGCCATCTCTCCAGCCCCTGATTTGTTCTTCTAATTTTTTATTTGGTTTTGCTTGAGACAAGGTCGGGCCTAGAACTCATCATGTAGACCATGCTCCCTTTGAACTTGAAACAATCCTTGTGCCTCTGCCTCCCAAGAGCTGAGATTACAGGCATGTGCCACTGTGCCTGCTCAGGGCACGTCTTCCCTATGTGGATCTTTTAGACATTACTTGAGTAGGGTAGCCCGTGGCCTCTGAGCCTGCTTCTGCCTGTGCTCTGGCCTTGCTCCCCTGGCCTGAGTTGATCCAAACTCTACTCCTTACTGGGTCACTCCATCTTTCAAAGACTCCTTAGTTAGATGGACCTGTGGCTACCTACTTCCCAGGCCTTTTGTGAGGATTAGTTGAGTCCTTTGTGAATTGTCACCATCTTGTCAAAGTGGACTGTTGTCCCTTCATTTCCCAAGTGCCTTCAGCCTTCCTAGGGTCATTTTTCCCCCTTTATGCATAGTCCAGGAGAGAGTCCTAAGAGAGCCCTGAGCACACAGCTGATGGCCACACACTGGGAGGCAGTGGGGCTGAGGGAAGTGTAACTGACGGGGAGCACACTCTGGGTTCCCTGGCACCCTAACACTCGGTGCCTGACACAATTCTTCAGGTTGAGCTTAGAGTTCTTTGTGCCTTTCCCCCAAGCAGTCTGGTTGTTTGGGGCTGTAGGTTTTTGTTTGACTGTTTTCTGAGCACCTATCAGGGGCTTGGTTATGTGTGGGGACAACAACAAACATGTCTAGGAGTCTACTCTGGCCACCCACCCCCAACCTCCAGGAATTCTGACCTTGCGACCAGGCCTGACTGTTTGGGGGAGATTGGTGGGGGCGGGAAAGGCAGCACGGACTTGATGGGATGCCAAGAGGAAGAACTGCCTGATGGCCAGCTGCCCGGGTCACCTAGGGTCGCCCATCACCGGCTCTAGCTCCTAGCTTTCCCCAGCCGCCTCTGACTAGGTTGGTCTGAGGAAGTGCTGTTGGAGAGGCTGTGGGGGAAGAACAGAGCTGTATGTGCAGCCAGCATGGACGTCAGAGCCAGCTCCGGACCAAGGGATGGGGTTGAAGGATGTGTTTGCCCAGTGCTAATTGAGGGCATGGGGACAGTGGTGGCTCTGGGGCCTAGAGGGGACTCTCATTACTCAGCGAGATGGACGGGCACGCTGGAGATCATGCGGTCACTCCCAAGCGGCCCTGTGACTGTTTGTTAGAAACCATCACGCCATCATGACAGGCTGGAAGCTTTAAATAGTGATGATTCCAATTCTGTCTTGGCTTCTAGGAGTGGGCGTCCGTGCAGTTAGGGGAGGGGAAGCAGGGTCAGAGGTCTGAGGGGAAATGTCTCTAAGTCCAATCGCCAGCTCAAGGGTGTGCAAGGAGAGTCTGGGCTTGTCTTCCTGTGTGTGTGATCGGTGGCCAGGACTTCCTTGGAGAGGAGGCTCTCATTATCAAAACAAGTCAACATCTTCTCTGGCACTGTTTGAGCACATTTTAGAAAGAGTTATCCACACTGTTATCTATCAATAAAGACCCCCTAAGACCGAAGAAAAAGACATTGGCCAGAGTCTGGCTTTGAGCTTGCAGGAAGTAGAGACTACTTTTTTATTCTCCTGCACAGAGTCTGTTAGTCTTTGGGGGTCCTCAAAAGAATAGTGTCTAGGAGTCAAGCTTCCTGGTTCTCTATTACCCGCCATATGAAGTCATGGACCTTCATTCCCACACCTCTAGAATAAGAGTTTAGATGGAATGCTCTGGGAGGCCCTTCCAATCCTGGCCTCTGCAGTTCTAAGCCATAGACTTTAGACTTGCTTTCTTCTATCTGGGTTTCAGCTCTGGTTCCCTTACAACTTACTGTATGTTCACAGATCCTGGCCTGCTCACCTCCTGTGTTTTTCTGTCCGCCCCACCCCCCTTCCCTCTCTTTCTCTGCGCCCCCCCTTCATGGTTTGTTTGTTTTAAGATGTGGTCTCACTGTGTACCCCTGACTGGACTGGGGCTCCCTATGTAGCCCAGGCTGGCCTGAAACTCATAACAGTTCTACCTCTGCCTCCCAAGTGCTGGGATGCCAGACATGCCCTGCCAGTTTTTGATAGGACACATGAGAAGATGTCACCCTATCCTTGAGCAGAGGGCTTCAAGGCAGCAAGAAGGGCCTGATCATTTGCCAGAACGAAGTCCCAGGTCTCAGAGTGCCGAGCCTCATTTGGTCAACAGACTTACCTTTTGGGAGATGTCCTGATAACACCTGTGTACCCTGCACAGGGTCACTGATGGGCCTAGGTGACATTATCTCACAGCAACTGGTGGAGAGGCGGGGTCTCCAGGAACACCAGACAGGCCGGACCCTGACCATGGTGTCCATGGGCTGTGGCTTTGTGGTAAGTTCTCTCACAGTGGGGCTACAGGGCCTTGGGCAGTGGAAATCATCCTCTGCCACCCTGTGGTGCCCATCGGCCGCTCACACCGAGGCCAGCCTGTGCCCTCTTCCTCTTAGAGTCTGCCTTCCTCAGGATTTGGTTTCTGCTGTCTTGGGGAGGAGCTTGGTGACAGAGAAGCCAAGGGTCCGTCACTGTGCCCCGCCGCCCTGTTTTTCACTCCTAGGGCCCTGTAGTCGGAGGCTGGTATAGGGTTTTGGACCGCCTTATCCCCGGCACCACCAAGGTGGACGCACTGAAGAAGATGTTGTTAGATCAGGTGAGCTAAGGAAAAGGGAGTCGGGGAGGAGAGCCTGGCTGGGGCTGTGGGCACTCACCTTTGGCTTGATTCCTCTTCCCTAGGGGGCCTTCGCCCCATGTTTTCTAGGCTGTTTCCTCCCCCTGGTAGGGGTACTCAACGGAATGCCAGCCCAGGACAACTGGGCCAAACTGAAGCGGGTAAGTGGCTCCCTGGCCAGCAGGCTGGCTGCCCCAAGGGAGGAGGCAGGCATAAGTGATGTTAAGGGGAGGCCCGGGTGGAAAGGAGCCGAGGGGCGTTGGGGCAGGACCGCCTTCTGGGAACAGCGCCTGTGTGTGTGATTTTCGTGCAGGGCTGTGGCAGCTACTTCGATCTGTGAGTGTTAACTGTTCCCTCCCTCTTTGCAGGATTACCCTGACGCTCTCATCACCAACTACTACGTAAGCGTTGACCCCTCACCAGCTGTTCTGCCTCCTTTAGTCCAGAAGTGCCCTGAGGTTGGGGCCCTCGTGGCATTGGAATCCCTCTCTTAGGATCACTCTCTCGTACCCCACATGGGCACCTTGACCAGGGAAACACCCACCTTCAGCCTCTTCCTGTGTGGAGTGGGGCCAGGCTGGACGGGGAGTCTGGGTGTCAGGGCCCCCACTGACCGTCACATTTTCTCCTCACAGCTCTGGCCTGCTGTGCAGTTAGCCAACTTCTACCTGGTCCCCCTGCACTACAGGTATGACCGATTCCCTACCCCACCCTTGAAGGGAGATCTCCAGTTGGAGACACAGTGATAGTCATCTCAAACTTGGCCTACTTCAGGACTTCAGCCAGCTCCCTGTGTCCTGGCCGGGCCTCCTCAGGGTCTCCAGCATTTCATTGAAAACCTTTGATCCTGGGCTGGAGAGATGGCTCAGAGGTTAAGAGCACTGACTGCTCTTCCAAAGGTCCTGAGTTCAATTCCCAGCAACCACATGGTGGCTCACAATCATCTGTAATGAGATTTGGTGCCCTCTTCTGGCCTGCAGTCATACATGCTGTATACATAATAAATAAATAAATCTTTAAAAAAAAAAAAAAAAGAAAACCTTTGATCCTTTACAGAGACCATCTTAGAGTGCCCCTGGCTGACCTGTCAGCTCCCCTGGAAGGCTTTGGCTCCCACAAACCTTTTTCCATCCCCCTGAGTTCCAGGTTTGGTGGCTCGTATGCAGGAACAGTACTTGGCTGTGGGACACGGAGGCCTAAGTTAGACAGAAAGGTACAGTCAAAGGCTAAGCAGGAGCCTTATCTGGTCAGTTTGCCTTGGAGATTGTTTTGTCCCAGTAATAAAGCTTGTTGCTGAGCTGTAATTAAAAAAAAAAAAAAAAAAAGCCAGGTGGTAGTGGCTCACGCCTTTAATCCCAGCTCTCAGGAGTCAGAGGCAGGTTAATCTCTGTGAGTTCGAGGCCAGCCTGGTCTAGAGAGTGAGTTCCAGGAAAGGCGCAAAGCTACACAGGGAAACCCTGTCTCAAAAAAAAAAAAAAAAAAAAAAAAAAAAAAAGAGGAAGAAGAAGAAGTTCTGGAGGGATGGTTCAATGATTAAAAGAACTTGCTGCTCTTTCAGAGGACCCAGGTTCAATTCCCAGCACCCACATGGTGGCTCACAACTGCATGTAACTCCAGTTCCAGAGGATTCTGGAACTATTCTGGCCTCTACGGGCACTGCATACACAGACATGCAGATAAAATACCTATAAACATAACATAAAAATAAGTAAATCTAAAATTAAAAAATTTAAGAGTGGCATTCAAAGGGGGCTGGAAGAATGAGGGGGTCTTCAGAACACAGGAAACTATGAAACTGTTCAGAGGTAATGTGGTTGACAGTTACACAAAAAGCTTAATTGAAAAGAATACAGACTTGTGAGCTAAATCCTAAACATCAGTCTTTGGTAGCAAAGTCATCCGGGTGCACGCCTCTAATCCCAGCACTCAGGAGACAGAGGCAGGTGGATCTCTGTGAGTTCGAGGCCAGCCTGGGCTACTTAGTGAGTTCCAGGAAAGGCACAAAGCTACACAGAGAAACCCTGTCTCGAAAAACCAAAACCAAACCAAAGCAAACAAACAAAAAAACTAAAGCAAGGTGTTTTGTGTTTTTTTTTTTTTTAAGTAGATAAAAGAGCCTAGATTTATTCTTATTCACTCCTAGTAAGTTCAGAATTAGTACAACCCGGGTCTATTTATTGCATGAATGAATTAGACTTAATATCTGAGCAAAGATACAGTATAGTACAATTAGGTCTATCTACCCTGCTATTTATTTTTATAATACCTACAAAGTTAACAATTTTTTTTTTCTTTTTTTCTGGAGCTGAGGACTGAACCCAGGGCCTTGTGCTTGCTAAGCAAGCACTCTACCACTGAGCTAAATCCCCAACCCCTTAATGAATTTTTTGATGCAAGGTTTTAATAGCCAGGCTAAGCTCAAATTTACAGTCCCACCTTAGTCACCTGGATGCTGGTATTACAGACATATCACCACACTTGAGCAAGGTTATTTTAAAGTAGGCCTATCTAGGCCAGTCATAGTAACTTATGTTGGTACCTCAGCACTCAGGAGGTGGAAGCAGGAAGATTAGGAGGTCAGGACCCTCCTGAGACACACTAGGTCCTGTCTCAAAAAAAAACGTTTACTTATTTGTATATGAATATCTTGCCTGCATAAGTATATGTGTACCCCATGTATGCCTGGTGCCCAGGGAGGTCAGAAGAGGGCGTCAGATACCCTGGAACTGGATTCACAGACCATTGTGAGCCACCGTGTGCGTGCCAAGAACTAAACCCAGGGCCTCTGAAAGAGCGGTAAGTCTCTTGATCAATGAGCCATCTCTCCAACCCCCCAAAAATGTTTTAAAAACAAAATATATTTAAATAGATAAGATAGCATAAATTAAAAATAAGTACAATTTTTTTTGTTTTAAAACAGGAATTCTTTTTTTTTTTAAAAAAAAAAAAAAAAAGATTTATTTATTTATTATGTATACAGTGTTCTCTCTGCATGTATCCCTGCAGGCCAGAAGAGGGCACCAGATCTCATTACAGATGTTTGTGAGCCACCATGTGGTTGCTGGGAATTGAACTCAGGACCTCTGGAAGAGCAGCCAGTGCTCTTAACCTCTGAGCCATCTCTCCAGCCCTTGGTTTTTTTTTTTTGTTTTGTTTTGTTTTTTTTTTTTTGAGACAAGATTTCTCTGTGTGGTTTTGGTGTCTGTCCTAGATCTTGCTCTGTAGACCAGGCTGGCCTAGAACTCACAGAGATCCACCTGGCTCTGCCTCCCGAGTGCTGGGATTTAAGGCATGCGCCACCACCCGGCATAAGTACAAATTTTAAGATTTTTATTTATTTTTTTATTTGTTTAAGATTTAAAAAAAAAATTGGGGCTGGAGAGATGGCTCAGAGGTTAAGAGCACTGGCTGCTCTTCCAGGGGTCCTGAGTTCAATTCCCAGCACCCACATGGTGACTCACAACCATCTATAATGAGATCCAACAACCTCCCCAGCATGCAGATGTACATGCAAACAGAACACTGTATATATAATAAATAAATGAATCTTTAAAAAAAAAAAAGATTAAAAAAAATTATGCTGGGTGGCACATGCCTTTAGTTCCAGTACTCAGAGGTAAAGACAGTTGACTTTCTATGAATTCAAGGCCAACCTGATCTGTATAGTGAGTTTCCAGGCTAACTAAGGCTACACAGTGAGATTCTGCCTCAAACAAACAAACAAACAAAAAACCACTTTGTTTAATGTGTGTGGCTATAGGCATGTGTGTGCAGATTGTACAGACACCAGAAGACAACACTGGATTCCCTGGAGCTAAAGTTACAGACCATTGTGAGCTGTCAGTTGTGGGTGTTCAGAATCAGACTTGAGTCTTCTGTAAAAGGCCAGGCATGGGCCTGGAGTGATGGCTCAGTGGTTAAGATTAAGAGTACCATCTGTTCTTCCAGAGGACCCGGGTTCAATTCCCAGCACCCACATGGTAGCTCACAACTGTCTGTAACTCCAAGTTCTGACACTCTCACATAGACATATGCAGACAAAACACCAATGCACCTAAAATTTTTTTTTTTAAAAGGCCAGGCATGAGGGTGCATACTTATTCCCAGAACACTAAAGAGCCAGAGGCGGGAGGATCAGGAGTTCAAGACTATCTTTGATTCAAGACTACAAGAGTTCAAGACTAGCCTGGACTATATGAGAGCCTGAGAGTGAATAAATAAATCATATATATATATATATATATATATATGAATGTGGCTACTTTATATGACAGGTAGTGCATTATTTTTGGAAGTGAAATCTTGGCTGGTATAAGGTGTACAGATATATTTGGAAAGGTCTAGCTAGAGCACGGATGACGAGTCATTTGTGGAAGGAGAATTCTGGTGGACCGGTGAGATGACTCAGTGGGCAACAGCCCTTCCTGCCAGCCTGATGACCTGAGCTCATTCCTTGGAACCCACATGGCGGAAAGAGAGAACCAGCTCCCAAAGTTGTCCTCTGAATTCCATGTGCATGCGTATACACACACACACACACACACACACACACACACACACACACACACGCAAAACTAATAAGTAAAGAAGTGAGCTGTGGCAGTTCTTTAAGCTTTGAGGCCTTCATCTGCGAGGCAGAGCTCTGAGGTAGAGCCGGACAGTTGTCCCCTGGTCCAAACTATACAGTCCCCCCTCCGTGGGGCTCAAAGGAAGGAGGCCCAAACCTGCAATTTCTGAGTCAGTCCTTTTCCATTACTCTTCCCCTCCTGCCCATTCTCCTTTTCATGGCAGTGTCTGTCCTGTCCCCTAGGTTGGCCGTCGTCCAGTGTGTTGCTGTTGTCTGGAACTCCTACCTATCCTGGAAGGCACATCAGCTCTAAGCCTGCCTGCTTTCATGCCTTGCATCTTGCACTGATGCACCTTCACCCTGGAATGTTTGGACAGTATCCTCAAAGATACTGGACTGGAGAGGCGGCCCACCAGTTCAGAACGTGGACCGCTCTACAGAGGAGCCACGGTTGGTTCCCAGCAGCCACACTGGGTGGCTCACAACCACCTGTGACCCAAGCCCCAGGAGATCTGATGTCTTCTTCTGGCCTCTGAAGCATCTGCACTCACACGCACACCAATTGCTTACTCACAATTAAGCATAAAATAAAGTCTTTCTTACAAAAGAGTCTGTCAGTTTCCATGGTATGGAGTTGCTGATCAGGATAGAATTACCACTCTGAAATGGCACATTTCACTCTAGAAATGTAACTGCTTTTGAAATCACTAGGAACATTGTCTCTCTCACCATGCAGAGGCCCTTGTCCAGTCCCATGCAGGCTCCACAGCCATTGACCCAACTTTCATGAGTTCCCTCTAGATTGGTTTGGTCATTCCTGCATGTTTCCCCATCATGATCCTGATGAACTCTCTCATAGAATCCTTCTTCTCTCTCTTTGAGGGAGGTCCCCTGATGGTAGGATCAGAATCCATCTCTGGTGCATGAGCAGGCTTTGTGGAGCCCACTTCCTATGATGGGACACCTCCTGCAGCCGTGAGGCAGGGGAAAGGGCTTGGACTTGCCTCTACTGAATGTGCCTCCCCATGGGAGGTCTTGCCTTCTTGTGGGAGGGAATGGGGGATGCGTTGGGGGGTCTGGAGGAGGGAAGAGGGGGATCTTTGATTGGTGTGTAAATGAATGAAAAAAATTTCTTAAAGAAAAACCAAAAACAGGGCTGGAGAGATGGCTCAGAGGTTAAGAGCACTGACTGCTCTTCCAGAGGTCCTGAGTTCAATTCCCAGCAACCACATGGTGGCTCACAACCATCTGTAACGAGATCTGGTTCCCTCTTCTGGCCTGCAGTCATACATGCTGTATACATGATAAATAAATAAATCTTTAAAAAAAAAAAAAAAGAAAAGAAAAGAAAGAAAAACCAAGACCAAAAACAAAAAAACATTGTCTCTCACTCTGGCACTTACTGATGGGGACACACTGTGATGATTGTGTCCTTTAGCAATGTCGTCCTTGTGTACACATCATAGAACATACTTAAACAGACAGCGACAGTGAGATGCAGAAAACATGAGATGTATCTTCCTGGTGCCACTGTAACACGGTATACCGTTTAACAGGGAGCTTTTTTTTTTTTTCATATGTAGAACGTTCTAAAGTAATGATAGATCTAGCAAATTCATAAACCAGCAACATTTCATTTATCCTTAGGTTGCACCCACTGTACAAAATGGCACAAGCTATACTTCCATGTTCCTGCCAGCAAAGAAAGTTCCCACTAGCATCATCACAAATACATGAATAACAAACTAAAACACCATGACGGCTACTATTGTTAGGTGGTAGAAATGTTTCAGCTCTGTTGTAATCATATGACGCCGCCTTCATATAAGTTGCCATCATTGACTAAAAGGTCATTATACAGCATGACTATACGTATTCCTACCACATAGCATATACTTATATTCCACAAATATTTGTACAACCTTGCCAACTTTACACCCATAGCCCAACAATGAGTACTCATCCCCACTTTGTTGTTTGTTTGTTGAGACAGTATTTCACTGTGTAGCCCTCCCTGGCTGTCCTGGAACTTCTTCTGTAGACCAGGCTGGCCTCTAAGTCACAGAGATCCACCTGCCTCTGCCTCCCGAGTGCTGGGGTTAAAGGTGTGCGCCACCGCTGCCTGGCTCATCCCCACTTCCTATAGATAGATACATCTTTCTGTCCAGTGTTCGGGATTGAACTCAGCCTTGTGCATGCTAGTCAAGTACTCTGACACTGAGCTACATCTCTAGCCTAATACATCTGTCATTCTAACTTTTCTGGGTCCTAGTGCACTTTGAGACCCTCTCAGTGTCTTTACAGGCACAGAAATAAATACATTATTATCTGGAGTCTGGAGAAGTCATGGATAAAACCCTTCAGAAGACTATAGACATGTCTATAACTGGAAAGAAGCGGAGTCTGATCAAGCCTGGCCTTCATCTACAAAGATAGACACCAACGTCTCCAGAAGGGAGGAACCCAATCACACCATGAGTTGATGGCAAAGCAGGAACTTGGGCCCAAATCTTCTCACTTCCTACCTAGTGATCTTAACTAGAAGGTGAAAAGGTATAATAGCACTATTTCTGTGGCTCCCAGGAAAAAAGCTAACTTTGTCAAACTCAGGATAGATCCGTGCATTAAGTTCTGACAGCCAAACACCCTTTTTTGTCATACACAGTCTGACACCTGTAGATTTTAGATTCTGCCTCTGTAAGATGGTCAGGAATCCTGACAGACCAATTGGGGCAGCGGGCCTTTGGATGGCACTGTGTTGGTCGAGTCTCTGCTGGCAGAGCATTCCTGATCTCAGTTTGGGGACCCGGTAGCCGGCCTGGGGACTGCGTCTAAGCAGCACAGGACTCTCCCCAGAGCTTCTGGCCAGATTCTCGGCTGCGGATAAATTCAGGACCACGGACAGCTCCACGGTCCTGCCCACTTCTTGGTCCTGGGGAAGAGAAAACCCCGGACCAGCCTGTTCTGGAGACACGCTCTGTCTATTGTGTGGGGGAAGAACTCTGCATCCGGAAAGAGCAACTAAATTTATGCCTCAGCCGGCTTCTCCCTCCTCTACAGCCAGGGTGATTCCAAAACTAGCTCCAGGGACACGAAACCTATTGTCAGGATGCGCGCCCCTCCGGGGGCTCGAAGCTGCTGGACTCGAAGCTGCCGCTGTCATTGCTTTCTACAATCAGTTCATGTTCTTCGCTGACGTCAGTCGGAGCTGTCCTGGTGCTATATAAGGCTGGCGGCGGTCCCGGGACAGACCCCGTGCTCCCCAAGGCGTCTTCAGCCCGTCCCGGGGGACAGAGACTGGAGCTCCATCTCACACCGGGCAGACACTCCGACAACCTGTGAGTGGCTCGGAGCAACGATCCAGACTCCCTTAGCACCAAGACTCTGCACTCAGCCCACCCACTGCGACCCGCCGGGAGGGAAAGAGGGAGAGAGGGGTGGAACTGGACTGGCGCAGCGGCTGGGGCTGGTGGGCAGGCTGTGGACACCGGGCAACAGCTGGAGGGTCCCAGCGGGGGCACTGGGCGTGCGCGAGAAGGGGCTCGTGTCACCTGCGGTTGCTCCCAGCGCACCTCACCCTATGCTGCCCCTGTATGTCCAGGGCAGGTGGCACCATGAGGCAGAGGGGACGCGCTGCGCTCCTAGTGGCTCTGCTGCTCCTGGCACAGCTGCGCCCCGGGAGCAGCCAGTGGAGCCCGGCGACTGCGGCGGCGGCGGCGGCGACCGGGGTCCAGGATCCGAGTCTGCGATGGAGTCCCGGGGCGCGGAATCAGGGCGGCGGCGCCCGGGCGCTCCTCTTGCTGTTAGCCGAGCGCTTCCCGCGCCGCGCCGCAGGATCGGGGACCGCAGGCGAGCGGCAGCGACGGGGCGACCCTCCGCTGTCCATTGACCTCACCTTCCACCTGCTGAGGACCCTGCTGGAGCTGGCCCGGACACAGAGTCAGCGCGAGCGCGCAGAGCAGAACCGCATCATACTCGACTCGGTGGGCAAGTGATCCGCCCGGTGTGGGGGCCCCCCCGAAAGGCTCGACCCTTTCCCCTGCCTACCGCGGGGCTGGAGCGCGCGCGCGACCGAAGCCGGCTCAGTCCCGCGGTGCAGCGCCGCCCAGAGTCACCCTGAGCACTCTGCGTGGCTATTTTTTTAAATAAAACTGCCCAAGAGCTTAGCCTCTATCTTTTGTCGTGGGGGTGGGGTGGGGGCGCACCGGAAACTACAAGAGGGTGGGAAATTGTGGGGGAGTGGGGCTCCCCAGACCAGTAGGAGACAAAAGCATGCTAAGTGGGGTGGGAGGGGAAGGCTGTCAGTTAAGTCCCTGGGGGCTCATCGGCCCTCCCCCAGCACGTCCAAATCCCGGAACTCAGTGGTCCTGAGATCCCACCCCGGACACCTTTCCGAGGTCTCAGAGGGGCTCAGGGGTCCACCTCTGATGTAAAGGAGTTGCCCACGAGGGCCTTATTATTTCACCTCCTCCCCTTCAAATGATCTCGGGTTGTGAAAGGGCAGAATGGTGGCGAGGTTGCTTCTACAGCCGAGACTAGGAGGGGGCCGCGAAAGGAGCCCAGGGACGTGGGACGCAAGAGTCCTTTATTGAGACCCTTCCCGGGGGCGGGACGCCGAGATGGGTGGCGCGGTGGTCGCGGAGCGGATCCTCAGCCTCCCTTGCCTCCCGCTGCTGCAGGCGCGCGCTCTGGATCAGGCTCTGGTCAGTGCAGGCCTGTTCCCGGGAAAGACAGCTCGGTGGGCGGGTGCTCCAGAAGAACAAGCCCCCCAGTCCCCGACGGCCAGCTTTCCCCAGGCAGCTGGGTTTCTCCTACTCTCGGACCCACCATAGTCCCCAAAGCCCGTGCGGAACCAACCGTGGGAAGTGAGTGCGCTTCTCCGCGCGCTAGGGGGCGCGCTTTGGGGCTCCTGCTGAGTGACACTTGGCGAGTGGGGGCTACCAGCAAGTCCTGGTGGCGCTGGAAAAGGCAATCTCCCAAGACCGGCCAACCATTCTCACTCCAAAGCCCAAGTCCAACTCTCACCTTCTGGCCCGTCCAGCCGCTCCTCCTCCAGCCCTGCGTTGCTCTCATCCCCGTCCAAAGCCACCTCGTCATCCTCTTCATCCCCGGCGGCGCCTAGGGGGAAGGCAGGCCTGGTGATGTGGAACCCCTGCTCCTCTGGCTGGAGCGCCCCCCTCATACCCTTTGCGCGGGCCTGAACAGTTCCTCCCTCGGCTCGCTCACCCGGCTGGAAGTCGATGGTCCGCAGCATCTCGGCCACGTGCTCCACGCTCACGGAGAATTGCTCCATGCTCTCATAGCCTGGCTCCGGCCGTCCGGCTAGCTCCACCTTCGACATCGCCCCGACTCTGTGATGGCCACGGGGCTCAGCAGGGGGAACTCCTCCGCTCCCCCAAGCCCATCCCCAGATCAGAAGGAAAGAATCCACGGGGTCCCTTCCTTTCCCGCCGCGCAGACTACTCACTTGTTGATCAGCTCCTTGGCCTGCTGCAGGGGAGAAAAGGGGGGCCGGAGGTGAGCGCTGGGCCAGCCCCGGCAAAGCCCCGTTTCTGATTCTCACCAGTCCTGCGGGGTGGGTGGGGGCGTATATCCCGATTCGTTAAGGAGAGAGAGAGCGCGCGCGGGGTGGGGGTGGAGGGTAGAAGGATGACTTTTCCCAGGTCGTGGTGACAAGAAATGACCGCAGGTAAGACTTGACCCGGCCCCCCGGGCCCTGATTCCCGCCACCCTGGGCGCCTGCCGCCCTCCCTCTCCGCCCACCTGGAGGTAGAGAGCCATCTGCGGCTCCTCCATGGACTGGATGGCGGACTCCACCAGCTTAGAGGAAACCTCCAAGTGGTCTCCGTACTGACGGATGAGGCCCCGCACACGCTGCAGCTTCTCCTCCTGCTCCCGGGCCAGCGCTTGCAGCAGCTCGCCCTTGCGCTCCTCCAGCACGGCGCACAGGGTCTCGAACCTCTGGTTTAACAGTTGCTTCTGCCTGCGGCTGTTGTCCTGAAAGGTCAGAGCAAGTCTGAAGGAGGTCGCGGCTGAGCGCCCCCCGCGGGTATTTTATCCCTCTCCCTCTTTAAATAGAACTCAACGGGAGCCAAGAAGGAAAGTGTGACTAGGGTCACACATTGAGTTAGGGGCGCAGATTTCAGCTCAGAGCTTTCCAATTGACAATGATGACAACGTATGTCGAAGCTGCTTCTGGGAGCCATGTATGTCGCTGGCCCTGGCTTGGCTTGGCTTTAAATTCCGCTTACTTATTAAAGAAAATAAAATGAGGTAGCTACCATGACACTATCAGCATCACTTTTTCTCTGAGACAGGGTTTCTCTGTGTAGTTTTGGTGCCTGTCCTGGAACTCACTCTGTAGACCAGGCTGGCCTCGAACTCACAGAGATCCACCTGCCTCTGCCTCCCGAGTGCTGGGATTAAAAGTGTGTGCCACCACCAAGGCTCGGCTACATCACTCATTTTTTAAAATTGAGTTTTATATTTTTATTTTTTTTTTGCTCTGATATGAAATTAAACCTTATTTCAAAATATAGACATTGGCTAGAGAGCTGGAGAGTTTGCTCCCTTGCTAGTGTGTCTTGCTCTTGCAGAGGTCCTGGTTTCTGTTCCTGTATTCATCCCTGGAACCCCAAGGGATCCAGCAAGCTCCTCTGGCCTCTATGGGCACCAGCATTCACGTACACATGCCCCCCCCCCCCACACACACAAATACACATAATTGGAAATAAAACAATAAATTTAAATTTCTAAAATTAATTGACTGGAAATATTGTCTCAATATCCAAATATATTTAGTTAACTATATAATTAGGGCACATAATTATTTATCACATAATTTTAGTTAAATGTATTCACTGACAATTTCATACATATACATACATACATATATATATAACCTCCCAGCCTCTTATCTCTTGATTTTTAAATTTTGCTTATTTATTTCTATAATTTTGTTTGCTTGTTTTTTGAGACAGGGTTTCTCTGTGTAGTTTTGGTGCCTGTCCTGGAGCTCACTCTGTAGACCAGGCTGACCTCGAACTCACAGAGATCCGCCTGGCTCTGCCTCTCAAGTGCTGGGATTAAAGGCGTGCGCCAACACCACCTTGCTATATCCACAATTTTATTTGTATTATTTTCCATTAGGTATATGTACTTGGTGTGTGGGTGCCCATGGAGGCCAGAGAAAGTGAATTCCTCTGGAGCTGGAGTTACAGGCAGTTTTGAGCCAGGCAGTGTGGGTGCTGGGAACTGAACTCTGGTCCTCCGAAATAGCAGTACCTTCTCTTAACCCCTGGGCCATCTCTCCAGCCCCACTCATTTATTTTTGAGATGGGTCAAATGGGCCTTAAATGAGAAATCCTCCTGCCTCGGCCTCCAGAGTGCTGGCATGATTGTCTCTGCTTGCTTATTTATTTATTTAGTTTATTTAGAGATGGGCACTCCTTAAGTTGCCTAGGCTGGCCTGGAACTTGGATTATCCTACCTCCACCCCTCTGCTCATCACTGTTTTATATAGTCAAAAAACAAACAAAGCCAAAGCAGAGAAGATTCAAGTAGCTTGACCAACATGGCAGAGCTGGTGAGTGCGGGAAGCTAAACACAACCCACTGTGATCTAGAGTCCAGACACTTTCTGGGCAGTTTGACCAGAGGTCCAAGAGAAACAGTTCTCCAGACAGACTATTGACCATTCTGTCCTGTTGTCTTCCCAGCCCACGCTCACCTCAATGGTCTGGCACACCTCCTCCATCTGCGTGATCACAGCTTGCACACGGTCATTGCCTGCCACCAGCATGGCGATGCCATCGCTCAGCTCGCTCTGTCGCACACACGGGCCAGCTGTTAGAGCTGGAAGCCGCAGCCCTGAACCGCTTCCCTCTCATCCCACCGGGACTGTCCCCACCTCGCCCATTCAGGGACATCTACAAAGATCTAGAAGGCTTGGGATAATTCAAAAAGTATGGGAACACATCCTGTGGATTCTGGGAGTCCCCCCACCCCCAAATGTGAAGGGAAGTGACGTTCTCTAATCACCCACTATGCACCAGACTCGGCCTGGGTGATTTATCAGTAGTATAGTCTTCCGTGGGTTCTGGAAAATCCTTAGGGCTACCCATTCAGATAGCATTGCTTCCTTCTATTGTGATTCTGGGAGTCAAGTAGAACTTATGTTGGACCTTCCCAGCCTCAACCTCCCACTCCCCGGTGCATTCTGGGTCTGTTGGCTGTTGGCACTGTTCTGCGTTCAGTAATTGTTTCTTCTGAGAAATCCATCACTTGACGGTTTTTCAACAGTTATTAATTTCTAAAAGCTCTGCTTGGTTCTTTGTCGGATCTGTTTCTCAGTCTGGTTTTGGTTTGGTTTTTCTCGGATGGGGCCTTTCCATGTTGTCTAAACTGGCTTTGAACTTGTTACCCTCCAGCCCCAGCCTCCCTGGTAGCTGAGATGACAGTGCACACCACCACAGCAGACTGTTGCATGGCCAGTTTTCGTATGTTTTCAGTCCTGGGGATCTACCCAGGGTCTTGTGCTAGGCAAGTGTGCTACATCTCCAGTCCTGCTTTTGTTGTTTTATTTCATCCCTATTTTCTTTCAAACTGGGTCTCTTTACGTAGCCTAGGCTGGCTTGGAACTCCTTATGTAGCCTAGGCTGGCCTCATACTAGTGATCCTCCTGCCTCAGGATTCCTGAGTGCTAGAACCGAAGAGTGCACAGCCATGCCTGGCGTCACCCCATCTTCTAAAAACATTTTGTACATAGTGAGCTTCTGTCCTTCAATAATTCCAACATCTGAATTCCCCAAGGATCTAAACTGTGCTTGTTCCTGCTAACTGCACTCATGGGGTACACGTCTCTGAACATCTTCAGCTGTGAATGCCTGTTCCGTTGATATTAATCGAAGGTCAGCCTAAGGTTCTACACTCAAGGGCTTTTCCTCCAGCTTAGAATTTGAGTCTGTTTCTGTCAAAAGTCAGGTGACACCATTGCCCGCTTTAATGTCCTGGGATTCCAACATGAGCCGAGGTTTGGGAGTCTTAGACGCACCCCTACCCACACACCTTTCACAGGTTTTGTGGTACAGCCGCCCCTCTAGCCAGCTGTCACTGGTCGTCAGAGAAATGGTATCTAATCTGTTTGCAGAGGCTCTCTGACCCCGTCCTCCCCACCCCTCTTAGGATCCCCCCTTTCTTCTCATGCCCCAGCCAATCTGATCTTCAAATGGCAGCATATGGAGAAGCTAGCTGTGTGACAGAAGACCCTGGAGGGTACCCAGCCGCTGCTGCCATGCCTTGTCTGTTGCTATGGTGACAGCAGCCCCCATCCTCACCTCACAGGTGAAGAGAGTCGGGGACAGAGAGGTCAGGTAACTTCCTCAAGGTTGTGTGCAGAGCCAAGAACAGACCCGGGGCTTTGGCCCTGATCTGCTACATCTTACCTGAGTTGAGTGAGAACTGCCCTACCCTCAATCCCCTTCCCGAAGCCCTCCCTGGCGAGATACCTTCTGGCGTTTGTAAATGGTGGGCAGAGGGGCCACCTCACAGTCCTTGTGGGCACCGAAGACCTTGCAGAGAGAGCAGGTGGGCACCTCGCAGCTCAGGCAGTAGATGTTGATCTTCTCATCCTCGTGTTCCTCACACATGAGGTGCTGTTCGGCCTTCGAGTGCAGTGGCCTGAGGACCATGGACAAGGAAGTAGCAGTCAAGGAGCCAGGCTGTGACCAGGGGTGAGCAACTTACACCGTGGTCTCACTTTCGGGAAGAAGGGATGCTCCAGGGAAGACTGGACCACTCCACGGGGCAAAGATGTCCCACAGGACGGGAAGTCATGGGAGCTGGTGAGGTCAAGGACACTGGGGTGGACTTAGGTCACAGACCAGGAGGCAGGAATAAGATTGAACACTGGCTCCAGAAGCAATGTCAGGCCTCCCTGGGGAGGAGGCCAACCCCCTCCTCCCTGGGTCCACTCCTTTCCCCATTGTGTGTGCCCACCCATACTGAATAATTTTATGTCAACCTGATATGAGCTAAAGTCATCTGTGAGGAGGGAACCTCACGTTTCCCTGCGTAACAGCTGGGTAAGGGGGTCCAGCGGAGCTTGGTCCTACCTAAACTCGATGTCTGTCCCTAAACTCGATGTCTGTCCCATGCTTTGTTCAAGCATGGATGCCTGCCCCTTTCTGAATGGAGCCGGAGGAGGAGTCGATGGGGAGGGGGGATAGATGGGAGTCGGAGATAGGGGATAGGTGGGGGTGGGGTGGGAGAGGGAACGGGAGGAGAGGAAGGAGGGGAAACTGTGGTCAGTATGTAAAATAAATAAAAAATGTTAATTATATAAGATTAAAAATTAAAAAAAAATGTTTTCATAAAATGGAGCTGTAGGCAAGCCTGTAAGGCATTTTCTTAATTAGTGATTGATGGGGGAGGGCCCAGGCCATGGTGGGTGGTGCCATCCCTGAGCTGGTGGTCCTGGGTTCTGTAAGAAGGCAGGCTGAGCAAGCCATGAGGAACAAGCCAGTAAACAGCATCCCTCCATGGCCTCTGCATCAGCTCCTGCCTCCAGGTTCCTGCCCTGTTTGAGTTCCTGTCCTGACTTCCTTCAGTAGAGACTAGGATGTGGAAGCGTAAGCCTAATCAATGGTTTCCTTCCCACGTTGTTTCTGGTCACGGTGTTTCACCACAGCAACGGAATCCCTGACTAGGACAACCCCGCTAACCCTGGTGGTGCAGGCAGGCTCTTCCCTCCAGAGGGGCCAGCAGCCGGGCATCTCACCGGGAGGACTCCTGCTTGTAGATGTCAATAATGTTCTCCACCAGCAGGTTCCTCTGCAGGCCGTAGACTCCGTGCCGGTCCAGGACAACCTCATGCCTGCAGGACGGGCAGCGGAACCGACCTCCCGACGACACAGTTGTGGAGCCCCGGGATTGCCACAGGGGGTTAGAGGCCTGTGAGGACAGGTAACAAGACAACAGAATTTTTTTCTTTTTTTGGGGGGGGGGTGTGGAGTGGGGATTTTTTTTTTTTTTAAGATTTATTTATTTATTATGTATACAGCATGTATCCCTACAGGCCAGAAGAGGGCGCCAGATCTCACTACAGATGGTTGTGAGCTACCATATGGGTGCTGGGAATTGAACTCAGGACCTCTGGAAGAGCAGCCAGTGTTCTTAACCTCTGCATCTGGTGTCCCCAGACAGCAGCCTGACAATGACTAAGATGGTCCCCTGCCTCTGCCCCTGCCTCATCCCCAGCCCAGCTCTCTGAGTGTGCCTCATGCAGAGTCTCACTTTGGCCAAGGCCTGATCAGTATTGGTCCAGCATGGAGCTTTGGCAGGAATGCTGGCACAGGCCGGGGACTGGCGGTGTATAGCCAGTGTCCTCCAGCGCGGACCCTTATGGGCCACGTGTAAGTAAGATGGGTTTTTTGTGGGTTTGTTGTTGTTGTGTGTGTGTGTGCCTGCGTGTACACGCATGTTTGGCAAGATCATGTAAGTTTGTCTCAAACTCCAGGTGTAATGGAGGATGACCTTGAATTTCTGATCCTCCTGCCTCAACCTCCCAAGTGCTGGGGTTATAGGTGTACTTCCCCCATTGCCGCCTCCTCTCTCTCTCTCTCTCTCTCTCTCTCTCTCTCTCTCTCTCTCTCTTTCTCTCTCTCTCTTTCTCTCTCTCTCTCTTTCTCTCTCTCTCTTTCTCTCTCTCTCTCTTTCTCTTTCTCCCCAGGGTCCAGACTGGTCTCAAACACTCTGCAAGGACAAAACTGGCCGCGAACATCTATCTACCTGCCTCTGCCTCTCAAATGCTGGGAGAATATACTGGCCATGAGAGAGCTTCGCTCTAGTCCCGGGCAGAGGCACACACACCAAGCGCTGCACAGTGGGACAGAGAAATCACAACCAGGGGCTGGGGTGTGGCTCAGTTGGTAGCGCTGGTCTAGGTTTGATCCCCAACACCACACAAGCAGGGCAGAGTGGCACACTTGGGAGGTAGAGGCAGAGGGATCTGATCCATCGGAAGCTTGAGCCATGCTCAGCTACACAGGGAGTTTGAGGCCAGCCCGGGATACACGAGGCCCTGTCTAAAAAAGAAAAGGAGAGAAGAGGAAAGGGCTGGGTGATGGTGGCGCACGCCTTTAATCCCAGCACTTGGGAGGCAGAGGCAGGAGGGTCTCTGAGTTCGAGGTCAGCCTGGTCTATAGAATGAGATCTAGGACATGCTCCAAAGCTACACAGAGAAACCCTGTCTCGAAAAAAAGAAAAAAAAGAAAAAAGAAAGAAAGAAAAAAGAAAGAAAGAAAAGAAAAGGATCCAGGAGGCAAAGACAGGTGGATCTACATAGTGAAGATAATCATGTTGAGAGACCGTCTTAAAAACAAAAGAAACTCCGATTAGCTGGATAATTCTGGGAAATTGCTTCCGGCACTCTGAGTCAGGATACACAGGCCCTTGCACAGTCCTTGACAAGACTTTCTTCTGAAATCTATCCAGTATTCAGCCTCAGGAAGGTTATGGGCTACATCGGATCGGTCCTTTTGCATCTGATGTCATGCAGAAGCTATGGGTTAAGAACAGGAGCAGCCCCCACCCCACAGTGGGGACAGTAGTCACCAGTGACTGAATATTTGTGAGTCTTTCCTGCAGGTGGGCTCCAGGGGACCTTTAGGGGGTAAGGTAATAGTCCATCACATTCAGAGCACACAAATCCAAGTCAAGTTCTTTGCTCTGGCAGGAAACATGGTCCTACCGAGACCAACAGCTTGGCTTGTGGGAGTAGACTGCATTGTCGTAAAGACAGTTTTTCTTGGGATTTGAGAATCACAAAACTGGGGTGGCTGGGCTTGAAGTCTGTCCTCCCTAGACTTCCTCTCAGGGTTTTCTGAAAGCTGTCAGGTTTCCAGAAAGTTTACAAGGTGTGATCGAATGCAGGTGTGAACTGAAGTTGGGGGGTGGGGTGGCGAGAGCCACAACTGTTGTAAAGAATCTACAAGGCTGATTAACAGGCTGTGAACTTCCATGATGTGGGGAGCTGGGATGCTGCGATGCTGCAGGTCTGCAGCTGAATTATCTCAGGCTGGTTTTAGTTCTCTCGATAGCTGTTCATTATTCCCGTGTGTTTAAGCCTAGTAGCCTTGGCTCCCAGGCAAGTCCCTTCTGTAGTGTCCACACATACCACCAGCTTCCACTACCTCCCCAAATTAAAAACGTCATCTGAAGACACACCCGAAGCCTATGACAGAGATTTCACAGCTTGGCTGTAACCACCTTAGCCTGATGTTTCCACTGAGTTTTTTTTATTAAAAAAAAATTTTTTTTTTTGAAACAGTGTTTCACTATGTAGCTCTGTCTGTCCTGGAACTCACTGTGTAGACTAGCCTCCAACTCACAGAGATCGGCCTGGCTCTGCCTCCCAAGTGATGGGATTAAAAGTGTGCGCCACCACCGCCCCGGCTAGTGAGAGAGTTCTAAGCCTGTGCATTCTGGAGGGCGTTAACTCGCTTGACTAAAGCTGGCAATCATGACACATGGGGTGGTTTGAATGTAATTGGCCCCCATAAGCTCATAGGGGAGTGGCACTATTAGGAGGTGTGGCCTTGTTGAAGTAGGTGTGGCCTTGTTGAAGTAGGTGCGGCCTTGTTGGAGGAAGTGCGTCACTTGTGTGGGCGGGCTTTGAGGTCTCCTATGCCTAGTTCAGTTTACTTCCTGTTGCCTGTGGATCAAGACGTAGAACTCTCAGCTACCTCTCCAGCACCGTGCCTGCCTGCATGCCACCGGGTCCCATCACGATGATAATGGACTGAACCTCTGAACTGTAAGCCACACAATGAAATGTTTTCCTTTGTAAGAGTTGCTGTGGTCATGGTGTCTCTTCACAGCAAGAAGAAACCCTAACTAAGACAAAACCTGTTCAGTAAATGCTTGAAGCGGGGAGAGGGACCTCCCAGCTCACAGCAAAGTCCCTCCTGGTGATGGTGCAAGCCTCAGTGGCAGCTGAAGGCCTGGGACTGCAGGGGTCATTCAAAGAAGTTGAGGCGTGGCCCCATGGGGAGAGCCTAGGAGAGGCTATTGGTGAAGCGTAGCTCAGCTGCAGGAAGGGACCCCAGCATTTTGGAGATGCTAGTACATGGGATGACCACCAAGAACAGCAGCAGCAGTGGGGTGGAGCCTGCCTATGTCGTCTAGGTGCCTAGAAGACAAGCTGTGTGTGCTTCAGAGGGCAGAGCTGGAGACGTGACCCAAGCCGTTTGGAGGAGTCCAGAAGATCACGAGTGAATCGTAGACATTGGACGGTTGGAATTTTGTTTTGCTTTGATTGCTATTGGGCCCTAAGTTTTCTCCCTTTGAAAGTAAGAAAGTATTTTACTGGAGCCCACAGTTGAGAACCTTGAATTTTAAAAGACTTTGGATTTTTAAAGAGATTGACTTTAAAGGAGCTGAGATTTTAATGTGTTTGAATATGGAAAGACTGTGGGACTTCTAAAGTTTTTTTTAAGAAAGGAAGGGTTGTGGCTTCATAGTGATTTGTGTGTCAAGTTGACAAGGGGTCAGTTGTGCTGGCTGGTTCTGTGTCAACTTGACACAAGCTGGAGTCATCAGAGGAAGGAGCCTCAGCTGAGGAAACGCCTCCTGGAGATGCAGCTGTAAGGCATTTTCTCATTTAGTGATCAATGGGGGAGGGAGCCCATGGCGGGTGGTGCCATCCCTGGGCTGCTGGTCCTGGGTTCTATAAGAAAGCAGGCTGAGCAAGCCATGAGGAGCAAGCCAGTAAGCAGCACCCCTCCACGGCCTCTGCATCAGCTCCTGCCTCCAGGTTCCTGCCCTGTTTGAGTTCCTGTCCAGACTTCCTGCAGTGATGAATGGCAATGTGAATTTGAATACAAGCCAAAGGAACCCTTTCCTCCCCAACTTGCTTTTGGCCATGTTGTTCTGTTGCAGCGATAGAGACCCTGACTAAGACAAGTTGGTACCAGCACAGTGGGGGATTGCTGTGGCAGACCCGACCCTGTTTGGGGGAGGATTATGGAAGGACTTTGAAACTTTGGACTAAAAGAACCTTTGAGTGTTGAGAGCTCAGTGGGATGTTCTGAGGGAACCTGGAAGATAATAATGTTGAGAGCAGGGCAGATGATGGAGGCCTGGCTTGTGACATTTCAGAGGGAAGTTTAAAAGATTCTACCGGGGCCTTTTGTTATTTTGAATGACGATCCCGTGGTTCTGGTGAACTGGGGCTGAAGAATCAGCTGTGATTAACAAGATACCAGAACTACTAAAGTAAAACTTGTTTTGCTGGGGTACTTGATGCTGGTCAGCTGGAGCTAAGAAATTAGCGATGATTAGGAAGAGACCGGCATCACTGAAGGAAAACCTTCTTGGAGGTGTTCCCTGAGAGCACAGAGCAGCTGTGTTCCAGAGGTGGCCAACAAAAAAGCTTACTACACCCCCCCATCCCCCCCCCATGCTCTTCCTCTTGACGCTCAAACACAGGAGACTCACTGTTGGCATTCTACCTAGGTTTTGAGGGCCTGTTGTGGTCAAGGTACAGGCACTATGGGCTTCCCAGATGTTGAATCTAATCCACAGCTTTTTGTAAAGACAGTAGAGAAATCTGGGCGTGTTGCCACACACCTGACTTGTGAGGCAGGAGGATCAGGTTCAAGGTCAGCCTGGACTATAAGAGACCTAAAAAAGGGGTGTGTGTGTGTGTGTGTGTGTGTGTGTGTGTGTGTGTGTGTGTATGTATGTGTGTGTGTGCGCGTGTGCGTGCGTGTGTATGCGTGTGCGCGCGCTCGTGAGCTCTGAGATAGCCCAGTTCATAAAATGCTTGTCTCACAAGCATGAGGACCTGAGTTTAAAACCCAGACCTCGTGAAAGAGTTGGGTGTGGTAGCACAAGCTTGTAACCCCCCCAGCGTTCCCCAGGCAACACCAATGCAATCTGGATGACAGCAC